TACCAGGGCTCCTTAATGCATGTACATAATCACATTATTACTTGAATCTTTCTCATTGTAGTTTAAAAGAGAATACCTTTTTTTCATACTTCAGTACTAATTTTTTAAAAGGGTTGAAATTTTAGAAACACAATCTCACAAAGTATCCTGTATTTCATTTATAACAATTTACAAATTCTCACTGATTAATAAGAGGGTCATTAGCACTGAATAATAAAAATTACTCAAGCTTTTTAAAAATACAAATACTAGCCAATTTGGGCTAGCCAGTGCAGACACTAGCTATAGAAAAATGGTCTCCACATAGCCAGCTGAAAATTTTCATTATCACAATGGTGAGAGTATCTTACTGTAATGGAAAGCTGTTAGGATGAAAAACACCAATGGGCTGTACTCCGTGGATTTACAATCATTTACCTAACCATCAGACTCCTAGTGTGGTGCTGTAGGATAAGCACAGGAATGTGAAACACAAGGTCGGTGGTTCAAACATACCAGTTGCTCCTCAGAAACCCTATAGAGGGCTGCTACGAGTCAAAATTGACTCGATGGCACTTAACAACACCTAACCCTTAATCTAAAGAAAGACACTGTATATTTTCCACTTACATTTCTGTTTTTTTGAGGTGCTCATTTAAGACACATTCACCTTTAACCTTTTTCAGGGAGAATTTTCAAAGCTCTCTAAGGGGTTCAGGTCCATTCAATGCAGTAAATAGTGAGAAGGTTCCATATTATATACTCTGCTATTGATTCTACTTTATAATTTGCTTAGAATGTTTGTGCTGACTATACACCCTATAGAATCCTGGTGTGTTGCTGTAAGATAAGCACAGGATTACTAACCACAAGTCCTGGTGTGGTGCTATGGGTTAATGCGCCAGACTGCAAAGTCGTTTGAACTGGAAGGTCGGCGGTTCAAACTTACTGTCTGCTCCTTGGAAACCCTATACAGGGTCGCTATGGGTTGCAATTTACTCGATGGCACTTAACAACAAAAACTAACCACAAGGTTGGCAGGTCAAACTTGTAAAACAATGGCACCAATTACTCTTCCCACAACACTTTCTACTCAACTGGGTTCAATAAGCCATTGCAATGACCAAACAGCACTCAACAGACAATGCTCACAGTTATGGGGTTTATTAGGGAAGTTAACAAGTTACAATTCACCTTCAGAAATATTCAGGGCACAGTTCTTCAGGAAAGCCGTTCTACAACTATGTTCACAGATAGGCCTCTCTCTGCCAACGCAATGTTTTAGGGATGCTGATAGCTACTCACAGAGCACACCACTCCATCATAAGCGTCAGTCTAAAAGCACTCAGTTCTAGCTATGTGCGTCAGCAATCCTAGACCCCAAGTTAAGTGCCAGGACACACCCCACTATGTAAGCAATCCTACTGCCTAGTCATTCATCTTTACTTGATCTATGGGGTGGGAAATCCACTACTCTGTCTTGTGCTCTGGTTCTTGGTTCTGCTGTTGCTGCTCCTCTGACACTCCTCTGGTTCCACAGCTTTCTGTTCCTTGGTTTAGTAGGGTCAGTGCACAAGGATCTTGGCATCCAAAGGACATACTCCACTCTTGGCTCTTGTTTTATGGTAAGGAGAGTCTCCTACTGCTTCTGAGATGGCTCATTTTACACCTGTGCTAGAGTTTCAAGTTTTCAGAAATACAATTAATTCTGTTAATATCAACAGTTGAATCTATCATCCAATCAGTATCTTCTTCCACCTTCTCTTACCAAAACCCAGCAGGAAAAGAGTCATTTTGTGGGAGTTACAAAGATAACTATTAAGTAATCACTATGCCACAAAACTCAGCAGCCACTTCTCAGAAATCCTTTAGTTGGAGCCGATTTGATGACACATAACAACACCATACTTCCTATATTTAACTGAAGAACCTTAATGTCAAATATTCTTTCCCATTAAAATCATTAAAATGGCCTAGAAAGGTTAATATTTTGATATTAAAGTTATGTATCTTACATCTTGGATGTGGTAGAACAAACCCTTTGTTAGAGTGTATATGTGGTGTAGTGAATTATCTAATGTCTCTTCTAACTACAGTCTGTAACTCCCACAAACAATGTTTTTGCCCTGCTGGGTCTGGGTAAGAGAAGGTAGGAGAATATACTGATAGGATGACATGATTCAGCTGTGGATGTCAGCATAGTTCACTGTAATTGTAAAAACTTGCAGCTCTAGTATGGGTTTAAAATGAGCCAACTCGGAAGTAGGAGAGCCAAGAGTGAAGCATGTCCTTTGGACCCCAAAGTCCCAAGACACTGAATCTCCTTGACTCAGGCACAGGAAGCTGTGACAGTGGAGAAGTGACAGAGGAGAAGCATCAGCAGAACCAAGAACCAGACCATAAGACAGAGCAGTGGGCTTCTCAACCCAGGGAACAAGTAAAGCTAAATGACTTTGGTTAAGAAATTTGCTTAGAGCTAGGTTTGCTAACCCATTAGCTACAGCATCATCAGGCTGAGGCTTATGGTGGAATGGTGTGTCCTGTGGGCATTTATGAGCAGCTGATTGTAACTGTGCCTGGAGCATTTTCTGATGCTGTATTGTAACCTGTTAATTTCCCTAATGAACTCCATAACCAGTATCCAGGAGTCCTGTATGGCTATTGTAATGAATTGTCGAACCCAGCTGAAGTAAGAGGATTTTGGGAGGAATAGCAGCTGGTGCCATATTTTGAAATGTGTCTACACACACACACATTATATATATATATATATATATATATATATACACACACATACATACATATACATACATATATATACATATATATTGTTGTTAAGTATCGTGGAGTTGGTTCTGACTCATAGTGATCCTGCACAGGGTTTCCGAGGCTGTAAACCTTTATGGGAGCAGAATGCCTCATCTCTCTCCTGCTGAACCACTGGTAGTTTTGAACTGCCAACCTTGAGGTTAGCAGCCCGATTCATAACCACTACGCTACCAGAGCTCCTTATATATGTATATATGTAGTTTCTATAGCTTATAATATGATAAAGACTCATTTGTATGCTCATTCTCAGAATTTCATTAAAATACAGATTAAATTGTATCACATGGTTATATGCAAAGCTCCTTATGGGCCAATCTCTTATAAAAAGTCTATAAATAAGGTGTTATACGTAAGATTTAGTATTTTTTAAAGTAAAAACGTTTTCACGACCAAAGTTATTTTATTATCATATGATAATGAAACCGTTATTTTTCTAATAATTACTTTCAAATACAAGTTCATCAATATTTAAATCTAATGGTTTTTATTATCTCTCATGTCTAATACTATCTTGAAATTGTTAGTATTTGCTATAAAAATAAAGTCAGAACATATGTGCAAGATAGGAGTACATCCCAATAATTTTTTTCTTTTTCTTCCTTGACTCAGAAAATTCAATTTTTCAAACATGAAGATTTTCAGATATTTTGGTTTGTGTTGAAAATATAAATGATTTATGTCAGCTTTAGCTGTAACATATAAGTTCTTGACTTAAAAACAAAACTTCCAATGTCATCCCTGGTTTACTTGTCACTAATTCTATTTCCATTCTGAGGTATTTGCTACTGCCAAGTTCCCATCCCCACTGTCTGAATTATCATTTGTTGTAAAGTACCATCAAGTTGGTTCCAATTCATAGTGACCCTGCATAGGGTTCCAAAGAAGCAGCTGATGGGTTTGAATCACCAACCTTGTGGTTCAAATCACCTTTGTAGGCCAATGCCTTATCCATACCAAGACTCCAAATTATCAGTTACAGATTACCAAATTTGAAATCTGCACTCCTGAACCTGCTCATTCTCACTTTTCCTGACATCTTCCCACCAAGATCTGCTCATAAATATTATTTACCAAGAAAAGATTCACTTCTTAGTAAACTGCCTCCCCTGGCTTCCCCACCCCCCAAAATAAACTATGAAGTTGTTTCTTGCCTTTCTTCTTTTTAAAAAAAAAGCAAATCTGAGAATTATAAGATCCTGGCAGTGGTTACGAATAGGGCTGTAACCTCAGGGTCAGCAGTTAGAAACTATCAGCTGTTCCACGGGAGAAAGATGAGGCTTTCTGCTCCCATAAAGATTACAGCCTCAGAAACCCTGTACAGGGTCGCTATGAGTCGGAACTGATTCCACAGCATGTAACCACCACCAACGCTACGGGTTAATGCGCTGGACTGCAAAGTTGGTTTGAACCACAACTGGGTTAATTCCTCAAAAATCTCATACAGGGTCACTATAAATTGGAACTGACTTAACAACAACAACAAAGACATTCAATGGGAATCCTGGTAGCAAAGTGGGTTACAAATTGTGCTGCTAACCTGAAGGTCAGTAGCTCGAATTTACAAATTGCTCCATGGGCAAAAGATGAGGCTTACTGCTACCATTAAGATTCATAGCCTCATAAACCATATACAAGTTTGCTATGGGTTGGAACTGACTCAGTGACACATAACCACCACTACCACCAATGACAATAAGTAGTCCATACAGATACTATATATGTTTTGCTTGTAGGGCAGGACCTGCCCTTATATGTAATATGTAATGCTAACCTAATAAAATTATCTCAGGCTCTGGAAAACTGGAATATCTGAAAATCTAACCCAGCTTTGCTAACTTAATGACTGTTCTTCAGTAAGTAAAGTACTCTGAACCTCACTTTCCTCATTTATTATATTTAATATGTTAAACTTGCACTAGTTTCCCTCTTAGTTCTATGATTATATAATTCTGAGAATAATACATAACCACAGAGAATAGAAAAGTCTGGTTATCACAATCAAGTAGGTGATAGACGTTAGTTACTTATCGAGTATTTGCATTAGGGGTTATCAGGATTCACTGATATAATTTTTTGTAGTTAAGGCTATGATAACTCACCTTTTACCTGTCTACCCTAACAGATGTATTATATCATATACATTAACACAAAACAGAAGTATGAAAGGCAAATACTCAAGTTTTAAAGACTACCTCAGGTGCTACAAAGTTTGCAGTGTAGCATGGAGTTAAGAGTAGTCCATTTTCTCCTCGAAGTTGTTTTGCAAACCCAAAATCACAGATCCTTATGGAATCTGCATTGGCTGATTCATCCATGTATAATATATTACTAGGTTTAAGATCACGATGAACAACCTTGAACATAAAGGAAAAAAAAAAAAAAGCAAACAAATATTATGCTTCTATAGCCAACTTAATATCTGCAAAACCAAACATTTTAAGTTAACATATTTCTAGGGAAAGGCATTTTCCCACTTAAAAAATTTGAGAATGACACTTTGTTCAACCTTAATAGCCTGAAGTATACACAGAAACTTATTTCTATTAGACATATGCTCAGTTTCTACTCAAGTCACCAATTTTTTAAAACACTGACAATGTTAAAATTCACATCTCTGTGTTCTACCTAGACTATCTACCACAATGCCCCCAATAGCACATAACTAGATAATCTGGGCAAAATACAAAAAGTAACTAATTGAAGGTATTTTGAGGGAACAGAAGCAGAAAGTTTCTGGTGGTGAAAGCATGTTCGATTGGAAGAGGGAAGATAGACAGATATAGGAGTGGGTTTTCATATTTGGTACTTTTAGCATAGGGCTTAATATAGTCTCTATGGTACACATAGTAGTGAGTACATGTACAAAAAACTCAGTCTTTGGCCTGGAGGATTAGAAACAAGCCAGAATGGATCACTGGACCAAGAATGTGTAAGAGGTTCAAGGCAGTTCATATAAAGAAATATGAAATGGACACAGACCAGAGTTCCAGCACAAGAAAGAGTTTTCAGTTTAATCTCAGTCAAGAAAATTACCCACTAAAACAAAAATATGCGTTGGAGGAAAAAGAAAATAATAAAAATCTCCCACAACTTAATATTTATAATGTACAGAATAGAATCCAAAATTATCTGATAACACAAAGAACAAAACACAGTTTCAAGAAAAAAAAACAAAAAAAGTCCAACTCTGAGATGAAACACTTGAATGAACTAAAAGTCAAGGATTTTAATGTGGCTATTATAAGGATCTTAAAAGAAGCAAAAGAGAATATTTTCAACACATGAAAACACAAGTAGAAAAATTGAGAATTGTAGCAGAAAAATATAAAAACTGAAAAAAAGACTAAATATAAATATTAGAACTGTGAAAAATTTCTAAAATTATCTATGTGATAATTTTCCTATTACTGTCTTCTACAGGAGAATACTAAAAGTGCCATGGGCTGCCAAAAGAACCAATAATAGATCTGTTTTGGAAGAAGTGCAGCCAGAGTGCTCCTTCGAGACCAAGATGGCTAAACTTCGTCTCTCATACTCCGGACATATTGTCAGGAAGGAACAGTCACTGGAGAAGGATATCATGCTTGGTAAGATGGACGGTCGGAGAAAAAGAGGAAGACCCCCCAATGAGATGGATGGACTTAAGTGTGGTAGTGAGGTTGGCCCAGGATCGGACATTGGATCGGACATTGTTTCATTCTGCTGTGCCATGGGGTCGTTATGAGTCGGTTCTGACTCGATGGCACCTGACAACAACAACATTTTATGTAGTACTACTTTTAATCAGTTTACTACAATGAAGAAACAGTCTTAACTCTGAATTCATAGCACCTTTTCATGGCTAACATGTAGAATAAATATATGCCATTAATTCATTTAATTGATCTAAGAACCTGGAAGTTTTTAAAATAATCAACTAAAAAAAGATGCCTATTAATCTCTTCTAAAAATTTCTGGTTGTCATTTGTTTGAGAGTTGCTAAAGATAGTCAAGGAATTTGGAATTAAATAAGAAGATCCCTTTATTATATAACAATTTTAAGTTTCAAAAGATTGAAAATGTACTCTATTAAACCATACACATAACTGAGTAATTTTTAAGTACAAGAGGGATTCTTGTAGAACTTTTACTGTGCCAATTATGAATTATCAATTTTGAATTGATTATAGTTAAGTGAAGAAACCCCGGTGTTGTAGTAGGGTAAGCGCTGGGCTGCTAGCCACAAGGCTGGAGGTTCAAATTCACCAGTCACACTGTGAAAGAAAGATTTATAGTCTTGGGAACTCAAAGGAGCAATTGTACTCTTTCCTGTTGATCGGTATAAGTTGGACTTGATGGCAGTAGATTTGCTTGTTTTTTCTATTTTTTATACTTATGTGGGTATATGTAGATTATCTGAACTAATAAAAGTTTTTAAGTTGTTTGCTACTTTTTTCCTTTTAAAGCTATTTATAATAAAATTATTTTTTTTTAAATTCAAGTCATTTGTTGTCTTATGACAAGACAGGGAGCAAAAACAACAAACCTACCCTCTCACTCACAGACACTATTAACATTTTATATGTTTAGAATTTGAATTTCATCCTATATTTTTCAAGGGGGTAGCCATGGGCCAAAATATATAGTACAAACCTGTAAATGATAACGTGCAGCTTGAATCGTATTCATAGTATGTCCTTGGAAAATTCTTCTACATTTTACTTTTAAGTTTGATTAGGTTTAATAAGTTCGAATTCAAGGTTAGGTATATTTAAGTGATTCAAACCAATTTAAAAGCTAATGTCTTATTAAAACATGGCAAATAGGCATATAGAAGAGAATTGATAAATAATTATTCAATTCCCCAAATCCTTTTTAACCTTCATTATATTGATAGAAAAAGCAATACATATTTGATTGTGTTATCTATATATAATTTAAAAAAGATATCCATCCCAGAATTGAAGGGAAGAATATAACTACAACTTACTCCTTGGCAATGAAGATAGTCAACTGTTTTAGTTATTACATACAGTACATCACTAGCCTCTCGTTCTGAGAAACACTTTTGTTTGAGAATACGATCAAGTAGCTCTCCTCCTTTCATCAAATCCATAACAAGATAAACATATCTACCATCATCATAGACCTAAAAAAGAACATAGTTTAAAATGTTACTATTTACAATCACAGTTCTAAAATGTTTATATTCCATTTGCTTTCCTAGTGAAACTCTTGTACTAAAAAAGAACAACAACAAAAAGACTGTTAATGTACTGAAGAATGAATTCTGTACTGAATGAATTCTGTATTGAAGAATGAATTGTCTAAAAACTTCTTACACAGTTCTGTGAAACAATGCTAAACATACAATCTTATTAGCTTTTGAAGATGTAGCTTGTAACTCATCAAAAAATACAAATAGAGAAATAGAACACTGCGTGTTTCAAAGGAGCTCTGATGACACAGTGGCCTGGAAGCTAACCCAACTGGTTCAAACACACCACACATTCTGCAGAAGAAAATTATGGCAGTCTGCTCCTATAAACATTTAGTCTTGGAAACACTATTTTGTCCTATAGGGTGCCTATGAGTCAGAATCAATTAAAATGCAGTAGGTTTAGTTTTTTTTTGTTTGGTACCTCTCAAAAATGGTATCTATCTCATTCATATAGCTACTTCTCTTCCCTATACTAAAAGTAAGCTTCTTTATTGCAGTAAGTATAATATTCTCCTTATAATCTATAAGAAATGCTGTTGTTGTTGTTAGACACTGTTGAAATGGTTCCAACCCACAGCAACTCTATGCACAATACAATGGAACACTTCCAGGTGCTGAGCCATCCTCACTCTTTTTATTGTACTTGAGCCTATTGCTGCTGCCACTGCTTACAATATTCTAGTGCTATTCATGTTTTTAACTTCTGGCACTATATCTGAAAATGCACTGCTGCCAAACATTCCAAAGCAGTCCATATCTCCTTCTTCCTAGTCTGTCTTAGGCTGGAAGCTCAGCTGAAACCTATCCAACATGGGTAAATGAGCTTCTAGCTCGTCTGTCAGTTTGTCATACCATGGTGCCTTGTGTGCTGCATACTGTGATGGCTGTGATTCTGGAAGCTATATAACAGGTATTTGAATACCAAAAGGGTCACCCACGGTGGACAAATTTCAGATAAGCTTCCAGACAAAAACCCACTAGGAAGAAGAAGACACAAACTACATCCGAATATTTAGTCACTAAAAATCTTATGAATAGCAGTGTAACACTTTCAGATATAGTGTCAGAAGATGAGGACCTCAGGTTGGAAGGTACTCAAAATGCGACTGGGGAAGAGCTGCCTGGAAGAGTTGCCTCCTCAAAGTAGTAGATCATGATGATGCAAGTGGAGTACAGCCCTATGGACCTTTATTTGCTCTTAGTGCACAACTCAAAATGAAGAGAAACAGCTGTAAACATCCATTAATAATCAGAACAAGGTATGCATGAAGAATGAATCTAAGAAAATTGGAAATTGTCAAAAATGAAATGGAATGCATAAACATTGATATCCTAAGCATGAGTGACCTGAAATGGACTGGTATTGGCCATTTGAATCTGACAATCACATGATTTATTATGATGGGAATGATAAATTGAAGAGGAATGGCATCATAGTCATCATCAAAAATAACATACTAAGATAAGTCAATGTTGTCTGTGATAGGATAATATTCATACACCTACAAGGAAGAATACTTAAAAGCACTATTATCCAAATGTATGCACCAACCACTAAAGCCAGTGATGATTAAATTGAAGAAGTCTACCAACTTCTACAGTCTGAAATTGATCAAACATGCAATCAAGATGTATTGATTATTACTGGTGATCATAATGCAAAGGCTGGAAAAAAAGAGGGCAGATCAGTGATTAGAAAATATGGCTTTGGTGATACAAATGATGCCGGAGATCACATTATAAAAATTTGAAAGACCAATGGTTTGTTCATTGCAAATACCTTTTTTAAAGAATATAAAAGAAAACTGTATACACATGGACCTCAGCAGATGGAATACACAGAAATTAAATTGACTGCATCCGTGGAAAGAGATGGTGGAAAAGCTTCATATCATCAGCCAAAACAAGGCCAGGGTAGACTTTGGAACAGACCATGAATTTTCCATATGCAAATTGCGACTGAAGCTGAAGAAAATGAAAACAAGTATATGAGAGGCAAATTATGACCTTGACTATATCCCACCTGAAATTAGACACCATATGAAGAACAGATATTATACATTACACACTAAAAGACCAAAGACCATTAAAGTTTTGGGATGACATCAAGAACATCATACAGAAAGAAAGCAAAAATTCACTAAGAAGAAAAGAAAGAAAGAAAAGACCAAATGGATATCAGAAGAGACACTGAAACTGGCTCTTCAGCAGAGCTGATAAAGTAAATGGATGAAATGAGGAGGTATAAGAGCTGACCAGAAAATTTCAAAGGTCAGCTTGAGAAGACAAATCCAAATATTAGAATGAAATGGGCAAAGACCTGGAGTTGGGATGCCAAAAGGGATGAACATGCACAACATTTCTCAAGCTGAGGAACTGAAGAAAAAATTAAAACCTTGATTTGTGGTATTGAAGGATTCTCTGGGATAATTATTGAATGATGTAGAAAGCATCAAAAGAAGATGGAAGGAATACACAATCACTGTATCAAAAATAAACGGTTGATGTTCAACCGTTTCAAAAGGTAGCATACTATCAAGAGCCAATGATACTAAAGGAAGAAGACCAAGATGCATTGAAGGCACTGGCAAAGAAAAGGGTACCAGGAATTGATGGAATACAAACTGAAATCTTTCAGCAAATTCACTCACTCATCTATGCCATGAAATTTGGAAGACAACTACCTGGCAAACTTGACTGGAAAAGATACATATTTTTGCCCATTCCAAAGAGAGGTGACCCTTGGAAAATTATGGGAAATATCATTGGAAGATATCATTGATATTCCATGAGTGTCAATTTTTACTAAAGGCAATACAAAAATGTCTGCAAACATACATTAACAGAGAGCTTCCAGAGGTTCAAGCTGGTTTCAGTAGAGGACATGGAATGAGGGATTATCATTGCTGACACCAGATGGATCTTGGCTGAAAACAGAGAATACCAGAAAGATGTTTACTTATGCTTTATTGACTATGCCACAGCTTTTTATAGTGTGGATCATGACAAGCTATGGACAACATTGTGAAGGGTGAGTATTCCGGAACACTTAACGGAACACTTAACTTTTAGAATCTTATATATGTCTCCCCATTGCCTTCTTGGCAGTTGTTCGAACAGAACATGGGAACACTGAATGGTTTAAAATTAGGAAAGGTGTGCACCAGCGTTACATCCTTTCATCGTACTTAATTTAATCTGTATGCTGAGCAAACAATCTGAGAAGCTAGATTATATTAACAAAAACGTGAACTCAGGATTGGGGGAAGATTCATTAACAAACTGCAATATGCAGATGATACAACCTTGCTTTCTGAAACCAAAGAGGACTTAAAATTCTTACTAAAGAAGATCACAAAGATCACAGCCTTTGGTATGGATTATATCTCTATGTAAAGAAAACAAATATCCTCACCACTAAACCAATAAACAACATCCATATGCATGGAGAAAAGATTGAAATTGTTAAAGACTTTATTCTGCTTGGATCAACCATCAACACTCATGGAAGCAATAGTCAAGAAATCAAAAGATGTATTGCATTAGGCAAATCTGCTGCACAAGACCTTTTTAAAGAGTTGAAGAGCAAAGATGTCAGTTTGAGGACTAAGGTGCACCTGACCCAAGCCATGGTATTTTCAATTACCTCATATGCATGTGAAAGCTGGACAATGAACAAGGAAGGTAGAAGAATTGATGTATTTGAGCTATGGTGTTAGAAGAGAATATTCAAAGTACTATGGACTGCCAAAAGAACAATGTAATTTGTTTTGGCAGAAGTACAGCCAGAGTGCACCTTGCAAACCGGGATGGCCAAATTTCCCCTCGCATACTTTGGACATATTATCAGGAGGGACAAGTCACTGGAGAAGGATATGATGCTTGGTAACATGGAGGGTCAGAAAAAAAGAGGAATACCTCCAACGAGATGGAATGGCACAGTGATAGAAGTGATGGGCTCATGTGTAGCAATAATTGTATAGTTGGCCCAGGACCAGGCAGTATTCCATTCTGCTGTGCATACGGTCTCAATGAGTTGGTACCAATTTGATGGCACCTAGCAACAACAACAACATAGCTTCCAGAATCACAGCAACAGTCAAGCTACCACAGTATGACAAACTGACAGACGAGTGCTAGCTATACGACATATGTTGTTGTCGTTGTCAGGTGCCATCAAGTCGGAACCGACTCATAGCGAACCCATGTACAGCAGAACAAAACAATGTCCGATACTGGGCCAACTCACTACCGCTGCCACACTTGAGTCCATCAATGCTGCCACCTGGCCAATCCATCTCACTGGGGGGCTTCTTCGTTTTCTCCGACCCTCCATCTTGCCAAGCATGATATCCTTCTCCAGTGACTTGTCCCTCCTGACAATATGTCCAAAGTATGAGAGACGAAGTTTAGCCATCTTGGCCTCTAA